CAAGCTAGTATTGGGATTTTATAAATTATTTCGTGTGGTTTAAATTTAATGTGAATATACTTTGCTATAATTAAAAATAGAAATTGCGTAAAAGTTTTATTTAAGTTAAAAATATTTTCTGAATATTTTGGGACGAAATACGAATAAAATAAGTATGAATGGGAAACGAACGATCCGTACAAAGCCAAAAAGACCAAGCCCCCCCCCCATTAACATAAAAAAACCACAAATTTCATGTGCCAGATGAAAAGAAACTAAATAACGCTGGACATATACCAGTGAAATTTAAATCCAGACAGTGTACATTTTATAGCACAAGGAAGAAACCTTATAGAAGAAGATACATGTGCGAAACGTGCAGTGTGGGTCTATGCATGTCCCAAAAAAAAAAAAAAAAAAAAACATGCTTTGAACAGTGTCACAAAAATTAATTTGTTCTTTGAAATTAAAAAAAAAAAAAAAAAAAAAAAAAAAAAAAAAAATCCACCGAGGTTTTTTTTTATTCTTATTTTATTGAGTTTTTTAATCCATTTATCCAAATGTCCTTATTATGTAGGTACTTATATTTTCACTGCTATAGAAAAATTACATAAATGTTTAAATTTTTTCTGACGATTTACTTTGTAAAATAATGTAAAAAAATTATATATAATGCAATTCTTACATACATTTTTTTTTAATCCGTAAATTTCGTCATTTATTGGAAACGCGCGCGGAAAATAGTAAGTTTTTTTCCCCTACTGCATCAGTAAGTTTCAAAGTTTGCGCGGTGGTTTCACAGTGCGACCACCAACCACAGAACAATGGGCAAGAGTAGATTTTTTTTAATTCATATATTATTTGTCTCTAGGATCATAATATTCAAATTTTAGAGTTTTTAGTTAAAAAATTATAAAAATAATATCGCGCGCGTCAAAGGGTTAACTTAGAAACTAAACAAACCATTTAAAATGTAATTCTAGCTATGCAGTCTAATTTCAACATGCTACTAATTTAATTAACAAATTTAAATTAATAAAGCCACAGCAGGTTCTTTTTCTAAACAGACAAACACTGGTCTCCCTCAGGGTGCTATTCTCAGAGAATCGGCAGCAAAGCATGTTAATCTCAATGAGGCTTTGGGGAAACTGGATTTCTGGTGCAGGAATAATAACATGATTTTAAACCTTGACAAAACTCATCGCAGTTTTTTACCTTGTAGCGTTGCGCGCCTCCAACTTGCACGCAACCAAGAGGTGACTGTTGAAACTGGATAAAAGACAGAGTCTTGTTAAGGGTTTAAGTCCCTTTTTATTCAACGTAATAAAATTACAAGGCGTGCGTGCTCTTGACGCTCACAAACTACGCCAACTTGGCGGTAAAAAAAAATAATAACCTGAAAAGAAACTAAAGACAAGATAACTACGAGGCTCTCTAAAAGTACTAAACTCACCGCGTTTTACACCGCGCAATAACCGCTGCTAATTCACAACTTGAAGATCACGTTGAAACGATTAACAATACTTCCAGGCAAGCACACAGGCCGAAACGCGGGGTTCTTCAATTTCTGGCTAACTACCTCCGCGCTCGTGAAGTAAGAACAGCACACCTCGAACTCGTTTCCTTTCTATTTAACTCAGAATACTTCCCCTGATAATTTGAATCCTTGCGCGTTCTACTAAAATTTACATACTCTGGCATTGGCAGTTCCAGGGGAAAGTAAGGCTTGACAGGAAAGGTAGTTTAAACTTAAAATAAATGTTAGTTAAAATAAATATAAACCCTAAAACCTTTTAACAAACAGCATTTTTTACCCCACCTTCTTAATCGCGATGAAGTAATCTCTGTTAGTAATAACGTTTTCTATTTGGGATGCAAATTTGATTCACATCTGAATTGGAATGAAGAAATTTCTTATATAAAGGGAAAAACTGAAAGGTGACAATTTTGAAACGGCTGGTGGGCTGCCGATGGTAGTATTTTGCTGTAACACAAAAACTTTAATAAATACATATAAAATATGCATTCAGCCATTATTTTATTACTGTAATGAAGTTTAGGTGACTGCTGCCATCAGTACAGTCGACGTTTTGGCAAAATTACGAAACCATTCTCTTCGCCTAATAACAGGTGCAGTTAAATCCACCCCGATAGAGACTATGGAAGGGTTAGCCAATATTTCTCCTGCCATGCATGATATTCGTAAAAATGCTGCAATTTTGTTTCAAAAACTCTTCAAGCTCCCAAATACTAAGCATTGGAAGAGTTACAATTTTAACAAAGATAGAAATTTAAGGACACAAATGGGTTTCAATCGAACTTGTTATCAATTAGCAGAAAACCTAGACCTTGTCCGAGAATTGAATGTAATGACTGTACCCTTGTGTCCTCTTGAATACGGTGACTTCTGTGTATAACTTGAGTTTAACGAGAAAATTGAAAAGAGTGAAATGCCCACTGCCCAGACCAGGGCCATTACTTATGAAACTGTTGAGAGAAGATATCCCAGTAACCTCTGGACCCATGTTTATGCCGATGGATCCATGATTCAGCGAGATATTGGAGCTGGTACAGCTACCTATTGTAACCATTTTGCATTCTATACAGCAGCGGGAAAGAGATATTACCAATTTTGTTGGTGAAGTTGAGGATATATTTATTGCTTTGAAAATCAACTAAGCGCTCGGAAGCGTAATTTCCCTCGGGCTGTTATTGTCCGATAGCAAAGCCGTTTTGAGGGCTATCTTTAACAATAAATTTTCACTTCCGAACGAATTTATGAAATGTAGGAAGATTTTCAACTCTTTGGCTGACTCATTTGTCTTGGATTCTGTGTGGCATCATGAAAGACCGATTTCTTTTTAAAAAAATGATTTTTAAAACCTATAACCATTTAATTTTGCACTTCCTAATTAAATTAGAATTTAAGAGGAGGTTTGCCTCCTACCTATCAAATGAAACTAAGGAAAAAGCCTGGGAGTGTCTCACTAGTTCAAAAGGTAGTTATTCCAAATTTTCCTCGTCCTATAACCGTGAGGCTGTTTCGTCTTTTGACTGGATACGATTGTCTGAATGCCCATCTTTTTAAAATTCGTCTTAAGGACACTTCAGTCTGCACTCCTTGTAACTCTGGACAGTCCATGGATAAAGAGCATATTGACGAATGCACTGCATTATTATCTTTTAATTCTACCATCCTTAAGTATTGAGAAGCAAGATCAAGACTAATGGCTTAGTGGCCAAATGTCTGGCATTTGTCTTAACAAATTAATAAGTAAATATTTTTATCAATATATTTTAAATTAATAATTTATTAATTGCATATCCTAAAAGTAATATAAAAAATAACATTTATTTATATAACATTAAATTTCTTAAACACATACACACACCAAAAAAAAAAAAAAAACAAAAAAAAAAAAAAAAATGCAGTACTGTACCATATAAACTAAGGATTTTTTGTTTATTGTGTACTATTTAAACCATAAACTTTTTAATATTATTCTGAATTCTTCTTAACATCTGTGACTTTTTGGAAAAAAAATTCAGATAATGATGTAGAATGCAATCTACCACTTTTAATCAGTTATTTCTTAGATGGAACCAGTAAAACACCATTTTTAAATATGAAAACTTTTAAAAAAAAAAAAAAAAAAAAAAAAAAAAAAAAAAAAATTAAGAAAATACAAATGAAAACGATTCCATTAATTAATTCAGTAATCTCTTAAATTTTAATTCCTTCTAATGCTAGAAAACAAAAGGAGGAGTTGTCCATAAAAGGGCTGCTTTTATGAGTCGTTCTGCCACGTAATGACACACGGCATGGCCAAAAAATAGTCAACACTATTATCAATATTTTTCGATTATGATTCGGCAAGATAATGTGAAAGCATTTCCAGGGCAGCAAGCTTCAAAATCCTCCAACACAATTCAGTTGTTATAGTATTAGTATTGTCTGCAAGACTCACAAAGCTCTTTTGGTATGGCTTTATGGTTCAATGATTGTATCCGAATTAGTCCAGTATCTTATATAAAGGCCGTTCATCATGCATAATAATGACAAACTAAAAGCAATAGATTGCAAACCACATCATTATCAAATTTCACTTCTGTCTAATTTGCAAGGGTTTTCCGCGTGAATGAGAATCTTGCAGTTCTCGCGAAATTTTTATTATGGTATATAAACAATCACTTTTATTTTATATAGTGATAAACAAATAAAATTACAAATGTTTGAATAAATTTAGTCACTGTATAAATTTGAAAATTTATACATATATAAACTTATAAAGACCGGTAAAAATTTTGAAAAAATGTTATAAAATCAGAGTTTTGAAATTCTATATATATATATATATATAATAATAATTTATTTCCTAAACAGTATTGATTAATTGATTATATTATCTCCTAAGTTTAATTATATATATATATATATATATATAAGTTATCTAAGATTATCTAAGTTATATATATATATGTGTGTGTGTGGTGTGTGTGTAATAATAAAATTCCACAGTCAAGAATACACTTAAAATTCTAACTGTATGTTCTTTTCGTTTTTAATGGCAACGTTCTCTTATTTGAAAGTACGTGGAATTAAATCCACAGCCCCGTAGTCAAGTTGTTTTTCCCGTCTTTTCTACACGTACAGTTTTAGAATGTTCTGGAAAAATTTAAAGCGAACTGGATTGGCTGACGAGGCTGACGTCATTTCTTGGAAGCTCCGCCTTTCCAGAGGCTATAAAAGAACTCGCAAAAAGAATATCGGGGTTTTTTCTTAAATGTCACGATGCAGTAAACTTCATACAAAAAGTTATTAGTAATTCTTTTTACGTAGAAAAAGAATTACTAATGACTTTATTCTCCTATTTACTCCGAATATCTGATTTTATAATTGCTATTTCTCCTGAATAATAATAAATGGATTCTGTTTTTTAAACTTATCATCTGATAATTTAAGCTACGACTAAAGCTGGTACATCACATATATATGTAAATAAAAAGAACAATAAATAATATTTTTCCGATTTAATAACCTTTATTAAAATTATCCTAAGCTAAAATTTGAATAATGACAGCATTTACAGGAAATTTTGCAGTTCTTCAAATATCACAGATAAAATGATCGAAAGATCTCCATGAAAGACACATACGAATCAAGAATATATTTAATATAAGAAATATAAATAGTTAGAAATATGAGTGAAACATATGATAAAGTGAAAGAGAGCAATAATGGATAATGCCAAATAACTTAACCTGTGCTGCAATATTTACACAGAAAACTTATCAAATATAAAATGAAGAGAAACATGTCAACATAAAATTTGAAATTAGACTAAAAAGAAACCTTAAATTGGTAGAAAAAGAAAAAGAAAAGAAAAGATTATCTAAGTTTTAGATGTAATCTATGTTTTAGATGTAAGTTTTAGATGTAAAAAAAGCAGTTGCTTTTTTTACATCTAAAACTGACAATCTAAAGTTGCTTTAATGCTTCATTTTCAACTTATTAGATACAATTAATAGGATAATTAACGAACTTTCTACATTTTCTCAAGATATAACATTTAACATGTTATAGGTTACAAAAATAATGAAGTAAAAGTAACATGAATTAGTAATTTACATTCTAATGTTTAAGACTGAATTCTAAATACATTTATTAAATTATTTCAGCATTATATTCATGAAGAAAAATGCTGAATGATAAAATAGTCAAAACAAGGGACTAATTTACATGAGGCCTGGGACAAAACCTCTTGTAGAAGCACCTCTCATAATTTTTTCCAACATAGCAGGTATCAATGACGTTAAAACACATTACGTAAAACATTTCACGAGACATTTCATAAACATTACAAAAAACAATTCATGAAATGACCTAAAAATTAATATTTTTTCAGTTAAAATTATTGAAACAAAAACATCTCTTTTGTGCATTTTGTTTTCATGGTTTTAATTTATTATAACATAGCACGTAACAGCTATTTGCCCAGAATGGGGGGGGAATTGGGGACCAAATAATAATTCTTTTGTTTTTAATTTTACAAAGTGTGACATATTTTAAACACAACATTTACAGGAACAAATTTACATGAAAATACAGGCCCTGGGCAAGTGCCCCATAAGGTACCACAAGTGCCTTACATAACGTAAGACACATGAAGAAAAGTAACATACGTACTACTTATATGTGTCTTCCAAAATACATAACTATGTTTCTAAAAACTACAATGAGGATAAATATCAAGCTGAACAATAAAAAGAGACAAATCTTTAATAATAAATACTAATATTATATCATTGTGATTTAAACATAACACATTAAATTACAATTCTGAAATCTATATATAATTGAAAAGCGGTTAAAAACAACCAAATCACTTGGCATAAATCTTCTGCTAATATCATCAAATGCTTCATCCGTAACATTATTGATCTAACCTTTTTTTGAATTTTGGCCTATGTTCTTAAGGGGTGAGTACTTGGCCTTCACTTTCAGCATGTCTCATACATCTAGCTAAGTTAGACTACCAATAAACTTTTGGCAATATACAAGAGTTTTTGACTTCTACAACTGAAGATCACTGAAACTACTTCTGCAAAATGAAAATCTGTATCAATTACCATTGTTTCTTTAGGACTTAGAAACATATAGCAAGATTTATAGGTCATTTTAAATTTGGTTTATATATGGATTTCAGTTTTGGCTGGATTTCTCCAGCAAAATCTTACTTTTCTGCTTACATTCAGAAATATACAATATATTTCGTAAGAATAATGATACTTTTTTTAAAAAATCCTTTAACAGTTCTTCCATATTCACAAACCCAAATGGCAACTACAAGTGTTTCTACATCTTTTATTTGAACATAAAATGTTATAAATATATTAAAAACGTATATTATCCTTTACAGAAAATTAGAAAACATACATCATTTTTTATAAAATGTCATTTTCCATGATTAACCTTCTTAAGCTGATGAGTAATGCATTTTCATAACATTGAATATAAATAAAAGATTATGTGCATCACCGATTACTAGCTAAAGATATCTTCTAACATTTCATTTTTATTTATAATGGGATTTTTATTAACAACTGAAAACAACTACATTTCTTTCAGATATTAAATAATAATAATATTTTTTTATTATTATGAATATCCCCTTGAAATAGTTAATAATTAAGGTTAGGTTAGGTTATTCATTTATGACAAAGCCTTGAGGGCTATCTGTCTAAAGGGAGGGATGCCTTCGTGGAGGACTTTCAAAGGGAAACTTCCTCGTATACACGTTACACATGGGGAAAACTACGAAAACACCCACGCAGCCAGCCCATTTGCGGAATTCGAACCTCAGACCGAACTACCAGTGTTCAGCGACTTTACCACTCGGCCGCTTACTTATTTTAAGATATTATAAGTCATAACATATAAAAATGACAATAAAAGATGTTATTTGAAATTGGAATAACTAGCATACCTAAAATGTCTGACTGTGCTTGATTGTCCAGACTAGCAATAACTAAATATTCAGCTTCGTAAGATTTCATTTAAATCAAACAATATTATAATAGGCTTCTCATCTGCTATATGAACTACAAGTTCTATGAAAGTGGCCCAGCAATGTCTCATACCATGATATCAATGTATCATCTACCAAATAATTTTATAATATAATACTTATGCTTAGTATCTTTACAATCAAGTTATTTTTCAAGATGTGTCAGGCATTTAAGAATACAACTTTAATAAACTATAAATACTTGTAAACTACTCTATGACTCTTTACATTGAATTATTTACAGAATATCATCATTTTCCCCTCATCCCCACTATGGCACTGCCGATTTGACATAGAAAAAGAAAAGGCATGCTGTTCTTGTTGCCTTAGCTGTCAAATGCAGTGAAGTAACAACTATCACCATTTTGAATGGTCTCTGGTGCAAATATGTGATGTAAGATAAAGAGTTGTGAACTTTAAGTCTGTCCAGAAGGTTCAGAACATTAACAAAGACAGTCAGTTGCATGTCAATAGCTGATCACTGTCAAACAGCTGTCACATTACATCTGGAGAAGTTCACAATTAGGCATGAGGTGCACAAGGTTCTCAGGCATAAACTGTATGAAATAGTTTATATCTGACAACACTGATAGTATTGCATGATCTGGTTAAAGTAAAATATACTGCAACAAATGACAATAATAATGAATTAAACTGTGAAAAGTTTAGAAAAGTATACAACCACATCCTGTACTACTTGTCAAAATTAAGGGATATCAGCAGAAATATGCTGACATCTCTTAATTAATTCTCCAATAAGGTCATTTCTGATAAAAAGCAAACCTCACATTTTCATTTCATAGAATTTACCAAACAGTTACCAAACTGTTGACTTACCTTAGGAAAGTGCACTTTTCAGATCTCGGAGGTTCTGGGGAGGCATTTTGCATGCTGGGATTCAGCTGTCAAAGGAATCCCATATGGTCTCAAACAGGTTGATGAATAAGCTGGCCAAATCTTCTGTTTCCAAGGGTTCTGATACCAGAGATATGCAATGCAGATAAAAACTGTCATTCATTAGCTAAAGATGAGCCAACCACACATGTGAACAACCTTGCATAAGGTTCTCCACATATCTGAGGTTTGTTACTGAACCTCCATCATTTATATATAGCACAGTGTGGCCATTTTTGATGATTCTACCCAAACCTTGAAACCACTTCTGTAACCTGAAGCTAAGGTTAGTACAGAAGTGGTTTTAAGGTTCTGTAACCAAACCTGGAAATGAACCCTTTCATGAAGGAAAGAATAGTACATGTTCCTCGCATCCTTCAGATCACAACATGTCCAGTATCACAGTTGAGGCTATATCTGGAATCATCAATATACAATTCATGGTTACACTCCTCTTGACTCTACTAAACAAGATGATGACACCTCTTTAAAGACCACTCTCTGACAGATGGAATCATTGGAACACGAAATCATTGGTTCCTTGCATAAAATCTAACTTCATGAAACCTTGTGTGGCAGTAGAAAGGCTGATTCAAGTTCCTTTGGTAACTTGAGAGTCTTTTTAATTTGCTTACATAAAACACTTTAAAAAAAAAGTAAACAATTAAGTCGTTTTTCTATATACCTAGCAGAGAATCTATCTCAATTTCAATTACAATGTAACAATGAAATTTATAGAGCCTAAAATCTAAATACATAAGCTTGCTTTTATAGTTACTGCACTAAAATTAATGGAATTATTTTCCGCTTGAATAAATAAAAATATATAATTCATTTTCATTCAACTAAATTTAAGATATTATTTACAGAAATAAAATAAGGAAAATATAAAATTTTTATATTACATTTATGATTTAATGAAAACAATTAAGAGATATTCTACTGACCTGTGCCATGACATTTTACTTTCAAGGAATTTAACAAAAAGAGGGAAAGCATGACATACAGCAAATGTTGATAGAAAGTAATAAGACTGTAGTTCTACTGCACATTAAAAAAGACAATAAAACAAAAAATTTTTGCATGAAGAGGAAAGACTTTTTACAGGTAACAAATGACTTAATCGTAAACAAAGAATATTAAACCTATCTATAATATGTAACTTCTTTTCTATTAATGTTACAATTTGTAACATTCAACTAAATGTTTTCAATAGCTTCTTAAAAATATGTAATCTAGTGTACATTTTCATATTATTTAAATCCATGAAAAGTTAAAAGAGTACAAATAAATGTACAACACATTATTTTTAATTTCTCTTAACTTGAGGCAAAAAATATCAATTTAAATGATTGGCATTCTGAATTTTTATTCCAAATAATTAGAGAATTTGGCTGAAAATATACATTTGTGACAGCATAGTATTATATAAACATGCTGATATTATATTTTAAGTGCAATATAATGATGAAAGTATGTAAAGGTGGCCCTCGACTTTCACACATTCTACTGCTGCCAATTTGCTATTTCGCATATTTTGAATTTGAAAAAATTTTGAAAAAAAAAAAAAAAAAAAAATTGGCAATATTACAACAATTGTTCACTACCATGCAGCCACTCCCATAAGATAACACAAGTCGTGCATCACCAGAGTTCTTAGGTTCGAGACACAATCCCCAACGATAAATAGTCCATGTGAGCACATTGGCAGTAAATGTTAATAAACATATTAATGATAAATAATTGTAGAAAATTTAAAATGTAATGGTACATGCATTTTCTTAAATTTCCAGAAAGTATAAAGACAGAACTGGTTACTGCATTAATATTTAAAGATTATGTCAGTTTTCATTTCAGGCAGTTAAGCAATATTGCAAAGATAAAAATTTACAGTTTAAAGCATTCTGAATCTTATGCAATGCCCCTTGATACAAAAAACCCTGCAGAATTTATACCTGGAAATCAATGTTGTGTTTCTTCCTCCTAATACTACCTGCCTCATACAACTACGGATCAAACAGTGATAGAGTTGTTTGAGTGATCGAAACAATAATGAATCAGACCATCGAGGCAACTGGCGGGAAGGTTAAAGAGATTTTTGGAACATAATATTAATAGAGATTTGTGGGCTGAAAAAAAAAAAAAAGAATCAACAATGAAAGATCCTTGGAAACAATTAATTAAAAAAAATGATGAGCAATTTTATAAATTCTGAAGAGACTTTGGAAACTATTAGTAACAGTAATAATTAACCTAATAAATGATGTAAACTTGGATGTCAGCAACGAAGATGTTAATGCATTGATTAAATGTCACTTAATACTTTTGTGAAATGAAAGATGTTAATGCATTAACTAAATCTCACTCATTACTTTTGTGAAATGAATACTTTATTGAGCAAGAAAAGATAAATGAAATATGTAATAAAAGCAAGGAAGAAGCTGGCTGATGGGTGATATTCAAGTAACTCTTGAGAAATTTATGAAGAAAACACCTGAAAGCACTTAAACATGCCCTGTTAATTTAATTATGTGTATTCATAAATAAATATTTAAAAATATAATTATTAATATTTCTTTTACATTCCTCTATTTTCAAACATTCAGCATCTGCATGTATTTTCAGGAACCAATTACGTGCAAAAGTGGAGGGCTGCCTGTATATTCAAACATAACTGAAAACCTCCATAAAGGTAAAATCCTAGTATATGGTACAGCCTTGGTACAAATTTGAATATTATCCCCACCACCGAAATGACTATTTACTGCTCATAATAATGTCATCAAATCCCATGTCTACCGTATACTAGGATGAAGCCAGAATACAAATTATTTGATTCGATTAACAGAAAAGGTGCTTATTCCATCAAAGTGACGGCAGTTAAAAATGTACCACTTTTTTTTAAACCACCAATTGTTGTCGAGTTTAAAATTATGAAATAATAATGGAATTCAAAAAACTAAAGAACTGACTTCTGTAAAAAGGTAATTTTTTTAAAATCTTATAATCCTTAAAGAAAGTAAACTTTTCTTTTTAATTTTTTAATCTAGAATACTCTACACATAAATAAAAAATAACGAAACAAACGTTAAATTTAATCTAAACAGGTGGCATAAAATGACAAATATCATAGGAAAAATTCAGTTTTTGAACATAACCGATGCCACATTAATTCTATTAAATATGATCCTAAATGGTGGCAAGCAGCATGTCGATGACGTTTATTTCTCCATTTAGCACTGCCCCACAATCTTTTCACAGTTGGGTATGGCATCCGGTTTCGGGGTCTATAATATTATAATTCACAGTGAAATTTTCATACCCAGCATTTTCTTAATTCCTCTTTCTTACATTCTTCTTGGCAATCTGACAATAGGATGCTGCCATCTGTGATGTTTTCCTAAATGGCAGTCAGCAATGTTGTAGCACAATGGGGACATCAGGAATGATGACCAGAAAACATTTCTTTGCTTTCCCGGCATAAACCTCCGAATACCCATTATCCTGGAAGAACCCATCCAACATTTTTTTTTTTTTCTTTTTGTGAAAAGACTTTCGCCTATTTCTATGATTTTGTTGGCTTGACCGATTTTATTTTTTTTACGAGACATCAAACTACTTGCACATACAGTGGATGGACAAAAATATGGAAACACCTTGTGAAATGCATGTTTGAAAAGAAAGATTGATTTTAATGAAATATGTAGGTGGCGCTGGCGTTTTTGACTACTGACGCCACTTATACAACTTCGTAAATGTGCTAAACAGTTCAGTTGTTGTCGGAGTACTGTTATGTGAGGTTGTCATTGCATTATGTCAGAGTTAACAGACTTCGAACGTGGGCAAATTGTTGGAGCATGTATGGTAGGTGCTTCCGTAAGCAAGGTAGCCGAGGTGTTTAGTGTTCCAAGAGGTACTGTATCGAAGATTTATTACGCATATTTGAAAAGCAGAAAAACATCATCTGCTAAATCACAGCGCGGACGAAAGTGTGTCCTGAGTGATCGTGACAGACGATCATTAAGGGCAATTGTGACGAAAAATAAGAAGACCACAGCTGCAAAAGTTACTGCTGAAATGAATGTTGTGTTACCGAACCCTGTGAGTACCAAAAGAATTAGAAGAGAGCTTCATAAACAGGGAATTGCTGGCCGTGCTGCAATTGAGAAGCTACTCATCAGTGATGCTAATACCCGCAACAGGAAAAGGTGGTGTTTAAGTCATAAAACCTGGACTATAGAGCAGTGGAAGCGAGTAATATGGTCTGACGAGTCTTCTTTCACATTGTTTCCCACTTCTGGCCGAGTTTACGCCTGGAGAACGCCATCTCAAGCCTATAATACAGATTGCTTGTTGCCAAGAGTGAAACATGGCGGGGGTTCTGTTATGGTTTGGGCGGCTATATCGTGGTTCTCTGCTAGCCCCATGATAACTGTGTCAGGGCACATGACTGCCAAGACTTATGTGAACATTTTGGCCGATCAAGTTCATCCCATGGTACAAACTTTGTTCCCCGATAGTGATGGTGTCTTCCAAGACGACAAAGCCCCTGTTCACACAGTTCACATTGTCCAGGACTGATTTTCTGATCACGAGGATGAGTTGTCCCATCTCCCCTGGCCACCACAGTCACCAGACCTGAATATTATTGAACCTTTGTGGTCTACATTGGAACGGAAAGTGCATTCTCGTTATCCACTGCCAACATCATTATCTGAACTTGCCACCGTTTTGCAGGAAGAATGGTATAATATTCCCTTGGCAAACATACAGGAACTGTATTTATCCATTCCGAGAAGACTGCAAGCTGTTTTGGATGCCAACGGGTTTCCTACACCCATATTAAGCAAAGAAACATGTTTTTTTAAAGGTGTTTCCATATTTTTGTCCAACCCCTGTACCTCTCTCAAGTAGTTATTCCAGTCTTATTATGGTTGATTTTTAACTGAAGGTAAAATTCAATCCGTGTCAATTCCTGACACCATAGATAGATAAAATGAATGGCACTGAGAAAGGAAAGATGTGAGCCTTTTAAACCATGTATTGATTCTCAATCCTTTTTTTCACAGCATGACCTATGTAACAACACCATACAGGACCTTTGAGTCAAAAATTAATTTCATTGAATGATTTTGAGAACAAAATCAATTGCTATGAATTATTCCTTTGTCCTGAAGGAATCTTATAGCATCCTCTTCGTAATTAGGTAATTTTGTAAATTATGTAGTGATATAAAATATGAGGTCATCATATGACAACGAATGGAGGAATATAGCAAAAAGAAAGTAATGTGCGATGGTATTTCAAATGAAAACTGCAAATCTCAAGCCACGATATTTCAAACATTAAATTCTCAAACCATGATATTTGCCATGTTATTGTAGCATTTTTTTCTTTGCAGTTTTCCTTCATTTTTAACTATTGTCACTCTAACAGAATAGTACCACAGAAAAAAATCAGCTATAAATTTACATATATCAATCTCCATTTATAAGAAACTGACATATCTTCAAAATCTCTACCATGCCATTTACTAGCATTAACACTAATGAAAGATAAGTGATCATGGAAAATTGCAGAAAAATATTACCATTATTAAGGGTTTAGTTAAAATTTAAAATCAAAATGTTAATGCTTTCTTTCTACATAATTAATAAGCAGCTATACTTCATTACTGAAAGAACAAATAAATATTTTAAGTTTTTTTTTTTTTTTTTTTTAAGATTCTGGCTAATCTTTGGAATATGGTAACAGGTAGTTTGGCAACATTTTGGTAAGGCAATAAAGGTTACTAGCTGGGACTTTAGCAGTGTGCATGGATAAAGTCAAGAGTGTGCACAATGCCATTTTTGTGCAATTCTGGGATTTTTTTTAAGTGAAAATAGGTTGACATGTACATGGATGATACTGTGTGTGTGCATTTCTTAAAAACGCAGCAAGAAAGTTCTAGCATAAGCGTAATTCGGCTAGCAGATTGTTGGAAAAAAATGTTGAGTAAAGAAAAAACATGCCTTTACTTCCTAAAAACAAAATGGCGTCCCAAAAAAAAAAAAAAAAAAAAAAAAAAAAAAAAAAAAAAAACTAGCAGGTTGCTGTAGCAAGGTTGGTCACCAAATTTTCGCCAAAAAATCACCAAGTTACCATAACCCAAAGATTAACTGATTCTTTTTATGGACATATGTTAAGAGCATCAATAAGTAATATTCATAAAAAACTTTTAATTGAAATGTGAAAAGTTTAAATTTATGAAAAAGAGATATAAAAAATGATTCATAACAATATGGAATGACACAAAACATATAAATTACAATAACAATAAAATAATAATTACTTTAATTATTATAGAGAAAAAAATTTTTAGTTTATACATGCATGTCTATTTTCAATTTAAAATCCTTACACATACAAATCAAAATTTATAAACTGAGAAGATAATTAAAACACATAAATGAAATTAAAAAATTTCTACTGAGTATTTCAAAGTTTCACAGACCCCACTCTCTCTATATATAATGACAATTTCCTTAACACTATTAATTATGAAATAATACATGATGTAAAACCAACATTTGACAGCTTAATAAATTTATAAGAAAGGAAAAATACATTTTCCTCAATTATTTAAAGTCTAAAACACAATAAATATACAGCTAAATTAGAAGATAAAAAGTTAAATAATAAATTACAAATTATACTCCAACATTTTATCTCGAACAGCCCATCTTAACTGATCATGTCTTCTTTCACCAGGTGGCTTAAAATTGTCCCAGTATTTCTTGTAGTAGTTATACATAGCGACAGGATCATTCTTCTTTTTGTGCACAGTAGGCAATCGAGAAATAGTTGAACGAGATGATAATAGTGAGCAAGTTGATTGTGATGGAGTAAGGAAATTTGTTGTCTGAGGAGACAAACTTCCAGTAGAGCTGTTGGACTTCCATGACAAATCATCACTTGAAAATGATTTGCTATTCTCAAAACTTTCAGTCTCTGGGTAAGATGTGTCAAATATACTCGGTATTGCTAGTATTTGTTCAGTTATGAATGGTTTGCCATCTCTGTGTCTTAAAACCTTCCTTTTGATTGTTCTGCATCCTTTATTCAAAGTAGTTGGTAAGGTATTTTTATTAAAATCTGAACTTTCGCTGTCACTATTCAAAGCAGAAATTTGGCCAATAATTTTAAAAGAATTTTTATTAACTTCATACCCATTTACAGTTTTATATTTACTATCAGAGATATCGGCTACTGGAATTTCTTTGTTGGAATCTGGTGAAATAGCTTCTGGATTATCAGATAAATTGGCACGCAATCTTCTAGAATAAAGATTTAATGTTTTTGGTAATTTACCAATACTCTTCTTATTCGGAAGTAAAATGGAAGGTTTTTCAGAAACAGGAGGAGAAGGCGGTTTATCAGCGGAGGTTTTGGGTAAAATGTTAGCAGACTGCTTTTTTTCGGCCACTAGTTCTGCAAGATCGTTTTTCATCATCTGAAATATATCAGGAGAAACATTTTCATAGCCTAATGTTTTTAGTTCCTGCAACAATTCCTCATCCGTACACAATGGATTCTGAGAAGCAGCCATTTAAATTTGTAAATATAAAGAACTGATAATTATATCAGCTGAATAATAAAAAGTTCAGTCATTTATAAACAATGTTTCGCAGCCAACAAGATCTTCCCTGTCATTTTCAAAATACAACGACAACATAGAGTTTAGTTGTTTAAGGCTCCTGCTTAAGAACTCTTTATAGTTGACCGTCTATTAAAAGCCAAATGGCTTTTAACTAGCGCATTTTTCCTTTTTTTTTTTTTTTTTTTTTTTTTGACTCGTGTCAAGAAGGACGAAGAATAATAACATTCATTAATTGACAGAATCCGAAGCAGATGAATGCATTTATCTAGTGATACTTATGCCTTTTTCAAAATGGAAGATATTCCTTAACCCTTTATTTTTCAGTATTATATCGTAATTTAAAGTCAAGATTGCTATGTGAAAGATTTTTGGCTTTATATGAAGACATTATTGCTATAAAACAACGCATTAACTTTAAAATATAGCTGGAATTAGAAGTTTCTTACAAATCGTGATGCCTTTTATATAACATTTATATAATTGCAAACATTTATATTAACATTTTATATTTGTTTCGCAAAATTAATGGTTCCTTTTGGTGACTTCAAGAAAGGCTGCTGTTTCCCATGCGTCATATTCGGTTTCATCGTGAGGAAATCTTTTAGCTTTAGTGGAAAAGTTAGATTATAATATCATTAGGGTGTGAATACTGAAAAAACCCGGAATTTGTTTTAAAGTGTAGCGATCTAGAGAGCTAATCAAATGCTCGCCTTAAAAATCAGCTCAAATATCAGAAAGGGCTCTTTTGCAATAACGGTATGATATTCGAATGGTATATAACGCACTCAGGATCAAATCCCAGGGTCATTATCATCTTCAAGGGCGTGCAATCTCGTGCGCTGCTGCATTTCTCATTGATGATAATAGATGGCGATACGAGCGGCTGCAATTCTCAAAGCCACCGAGGTAAAGCTCCTCGAATATAATGCTCACATAATATAATCCTCACAGTGCCTACTCAACTACGCCCTCTTCACCCACTGAGGACAAATGACAAACTACATCACACACGCTCCACTTCAAAATCTAACGGTGACACAAGTGCCAACAAACAAGGTTCTCTCAACCAAAGAATTTGTAGGGATAAATTCTACAAATCCCTTCCCTACAGATTCTTTGTCTCAACCATGCATCAGCGGATCCAACTAAGCACGTCCACACAGCACGTCCAAAACAATGATTTTCACAAAAACCATTCGTATCGCATCATAAATGCTTGGGAGAGGAAAATGTGTCACAACCTCGAGAGGTAATCAAAGGCTTGCATTACAAAGCAGTTCGAATATCCGAATCTGTCGCATAGGAACTCTTTTGCAATAGCGGCATGATATTCAATTGACATATAACAAAACGAGGATCAAATCCCAAGGTCATGATCATCTTCAGGGCATGCAAACTAGTGTGCTGCTGAACTTCTTAGTGGTGCTAATAGATGGCGACACGAGACACAGCTACAACACCCGAAGCCACTGAGGTATCTCACATCACGTGATCTTTACAAAAGTATAATTTTTATGTTGATGAAAATAAATTTAATCCTCTAAATTCATTCAACGCTCGTTAGCATAAGTTTCATATATTTATTTGACGTGTTAATTTCATGGTGTTTTTCATTCTTTACACAGACAGACGAACCAATCCTTGATTTAATTTGTTCTTTTTAAAATCATTCTTGCGGAGATGCGGTGTGTGTATGTGATTATGGCAAAGCCTCGAGGGCTATCTGCCTAAAGAGAGGGATGCCTCCGTGGAGGACTTTCTAAGGGAAATTGGCTCGTATACACGTTACACATGAGGGAACGCTCATCCTGCCAGAAAAAACGAACCAGAAAACCAGAAAACGCTCATCCTGCCAGCCCGTTTGCGGGATTCGAACCTCGGACCAACTACCAGTGTTCAGCGACTTTACCGCTCGGCCGCTGGTGGAACCTTGCGGCGTGTTCTCGTTATTAGGATGTCTGACCGCGCCATCTTTCAGAGAGGTTGATAACTACGCCACAGTTTCCACAGTATCTTTAAAGATGGTAAATGGTCCTGGAAGGTCAAATCAAGGTTTGCAGGGTATAAAACCGAACATCTCAACACAAGGCAAAAGTTCGCCCTAGCCTGCAAAGGCCATTATTTGGATCTATTTTCCAATGCGAGCCAACTGGTAGAACAGCGACCTTTCTCATATCATTCACACAGTGTATTCAGAATGTTCCAGGACTTATCGCGTACAGACCGTATTACACAGAGGATATACTTACATTTGATATTAAGCTTCTACATAGTTTCTTGCCAATTCAATACAACGATTGGAGACATTCGATGCAGCAATTGGAGTGTACAGGTCTCTAAAGGTCTTCTGGTATACTTTGAATACAACACTACTTAGTTCTGATATCACAGCTGTTTCAGTATCCTCCATCGACGCTCCTTCAACTTTATTGCCAGCTTGAGAAATAAAATATAATCCGAGGGGTGCAGATATACAAGCTGCCCTTTTGCCAAAACTTACTGTACGAGGATGGACATGTGAAACGGTGCATGCTCAACAAATCGGGCTTCCCATGTCTCATTTATTTTAAAACATCTTTGTAAAATGCCCCAATCACAGTAGAATCTTGATGGCAAAATTCTTGAATGATTTCTCAACTGTCAAAAAAGGGTGATCAGCCTTGTTTTCATTTTTATTTCGAAATGTAAATTTTCATCAGCCGATTCTTCTTAGGATATGTCAACTCAGCACTTTGGTGTTTTATTTTCAGATCGTTCTTGAGACACCAAGTCTCATCTCTGGTAACAATGTTTTGTAAAAACGTTGGATCCTGATTTGCCACAACAATCAAACGCTTGCAGGAGGAAATTCGGTTTTTTTTTTTTTTTTTTTTTCTCCAGGAGCCAGAGTGTGAGGCACAAAACGAGCACAGAGTTTCTCCGCCCCCAAATCAAGTCATGATCGTGAAAACATATCCCGTACTAATGTTTAATGACTGTGCAAACATATTTATTGTTATTCGGCAATAGAACCTCACCAATATTTGCGTCATTTGGACGACCTGATCTCTTGTCGTCATCGGCCGAGTCTGTTCTAGTTTTAAGTATGGGAAACACTCCACATACTTGTTAACACTACTTGTTATAGCTTCGCCATAGAGCAAATTTAATCATTTCGTGTATTTTTGTGACCCACTTTTCAAATTTAAACAAAATTAGGTCTTCCTTCATTGCTATATTTTTTTCCGATGACAATGACGCACACACACGCTTTACGCAAACTAAGACTAATGAATAAGTCGAAACTAGTGAGATATGAAAGCACCGACTTTATAGGCATGACTGAAGGTTGTTGCTAGGTCATTGTACTAGCTTCCCAGAGATAGTGTCATTTGTACTTTTTACGAGCGGAAATCCTGAACCTTTTTGAATACACTGTCTGTAACACGATACTAGAAGACGCGAATGGTCTTCGTGACGTGCACGAGGCTGTGAAGCCTGCCCATAGTCGTAAATGCACTAATGGACTGATTCTCAATGAATAGGATTGCCTTTGTTGCATTATGAGGTGCGACATCCTTTCATACCGCTCCGCGAAGATGCATTTTTTATTACATCCGATCACGTGTTTGGGAGACCGAGGCTCACAGAGACTGCTGCTTCGCTGACCTTGGAGATCGAACAGAGATATATTGCGTAGATATAAAGAAGGAAATACTATTGTTACCTGAATAGTAGAAATCAAACATCTTGTCGCAAGGGCTAAATGTCAAGTTATCCTCGAAGTCGATATGTGTTTTCCAGAACGAACTCTAATCGGACATCGATAATTACTGAGTTATATTTGCATTCCCTTGGATTAATTACAATTTTTCAAGCTGACAACAGTGATTTATATTGTTTATGATATCATGTAATTTGTGAAGGAAGAGATGTCACGATTGAGACAACAGATGTTTTTAGCACGGCATTCTTTTAGAGGCCTCCCAATGCTCACTTGTCTTGTCTTGAAGAGCAAAAATCAGGATTGCGAATGAATGAAGGATTTTGGCACATTAAGCAGAAATCAAGTCAGAAGGGCAAAATTTAAATTTACAGATTTTTATTATTATTGCACAGTGTGCATAATTTCAGTTGGCTAAAACAGATCATTAATAAAAGCATTGAAAAAACAAAAGATTAATCCCTGTAGTACAAATTCTCTAATCAATTTCTTCTGGAAACAAAATTTCCTATTTTAATCTGAAAATATCGTCGATCGAAAGATATAATTTTGGTTATAGTGGGAGGAAAATCAATGATTCAATATTAGCTCATTTAATTAAAAATGAATTTAATATATTTTGTAGGCAAATCGTTTCTTTTAAAACTAGAATTTCATGTTAGCAATTTGAAATTTCAGAAAAGGGTTCATTTCATATTAGAGTTTGGAAATTCTTAGTGTAATGGGGGAAGTGAAATGCATTCTTAGTTTATAATCTCTAATTCTTAATGTGGTTAATATTCTATAATCAGCGTGAGCGCCAAACTTGGCGAGTTTTTTACTTACTTACGAGATTTTGATTTGGTTGTGGTTTCCGGATGTATGTTTTCTTGTCTAGTCTTATTTTGGTAATTGTAAGAGTGCGAATTTAATGCAGCCCGATTTTTTTTAAATTTAATTTTGAAATTCTCTGTTTTTAAAAGTTTTACTGTTTAATAGTATTATATATATATATGTTTAATATTATATTTATATAAATATTTGCAGAAGGTTAAGTTGTTATTGGTCAAAGAATGTTGGATTTCAAATGACGTGAAGTTATAAATGTTTTCATTTAATTTTATTTAGTTAATTTCTTTTTAGTTTTGTTTCTTGCATGTGGCAATCGAAAGATGTGGAATAATTAACGTTTTGAAGGAAAGTTGTTTACTATGTTGCATTCCAGGACGTTGTTTTATCATTTAATCAATTTCATTTACTACTATTCTGTTTGCACATAATAAGCGCCGTTCACCACTGTAAACAAAAATTTCCGATTCTGTTTACGTTTAAAACTTACTTTGCAGTGCTCCAATGTG